TCGTTCGTCGTTTCACTTTCTCATTATTAAAGTGAATAAATCGAACTGTTGGTTGCTAAGATGATTTCGGTGGTCCTAAAATGATGAGGGCTGCACGTAAGGAGACGTAATTGATAATTCTCCCGAATATCCTGGTAAATACACTTTGACTTAAGTAACAATAGGGGCCATCAAACGACGTATAATAACTTTTGACTCAAAAACCAGTATTTTTTAGCATGAAAGCTAGCGATTTGCATTTGTATGATTAAAACCCTGCTAAATATGTTAAACATTGCTATCACTATGAGATTATATGTGTTTACTTGGAAATAGGAATAACTTTTCGGTCATCAAAACAAAACTTTATTTTTCTCGGATTGGTGCGAATGTTACTTACGACATAATGAAAATTTGCTCTTGAAATGAAAGATTAAACTCTTAGCTATCAATGCTCTTTGAAAAAGAACTCGATTAAAGTTAATTATCATACATTTAAATTGAAAAGTATGTTGAAAGTACCAACAAAACTGGTGAAATTTCATACATTTTAGTGTTTTTAAGTTGAAAATTTTCATTTCTGTTTATTTAGTTGTTCTACAAAACATTTTCCATGCAGTTCCCTAGATTTGTACCTTTGGTAGTAACCTTGTAGGCTTTATGGTTTCTTCGTAATTATTGATTTAAAACAGCCATAAAAACTTGTGACGTTTTCATAAAATGCGCTTTAGTCACCCTATTCGTTCGTACGTTCGGCTGTTGCAGTGGACTACGCACATGAAAATTTGGTAGAATGTTATTGTACAAGTTTAGATACATTCTTAACTTTTGATTACCGCACATCTCCTGCGTCGATGTTTCGACGTTTCGATGTTTCGCGGTATCGAATATTGCTCAGTCTCAGCAGAAAACACAACGAGAGACACCAGATCGGCGAATTCTGAGAGCGGAAGGGAGAGAAGTAGGTAGTGGTAATAAGTCGATGTCCTTTTTATTTCATAGCACTCGCAGCTCAGCTGCCGTGCTGTTTCGATGGAGGAGTGTGGAGCTCCGCTGCTTCTGTATACACACTTAGATTTTTTTACAGGAGTTAGTGTTTTTACTGGATTTTTGGATTACTGGCTCGGTTAAAATTCAAATGACTATTATTCGTAAAGATTGGATAAAATCGAAAATTTTTATTTTTCATCATTACACGGGGTTAACAGAAGTTAGTTTGTAAATTTTCGTAACACATTTTCACAACTTTGAATTTTTCACAGATTTTTTTTAAATTTTACCGAAGAGTTTCGCAATTCAAACACTCGGTAAACATTACTGATTGGATAAGTGTGTACTGATGTATGGTTGGTGAAGAGGCTAGCATGTGGAGGGTATTCTCGGGCTAGTGAATGCCATCCATCCCCACTTATAATTCAGTAATACACTATTTATTCATTTCTTTTTTTTTTTCCTTTGGTTTGTTTTTTTCGGCGTGATCAGAGATGTTATGCCTCAGAACATCCCGGCGGCGCTGACTGGGATTGAACCCAGGACGGCTGGGGTGAGAGGTAATCACGCTTACCACTACACCACCGGTGCCGTTATTTGTTTATTCATTTCTCTTTGATATGTTTACAAAGTTTGCAAACAAAAATGAGCATTGTAGCGAGTTACCAATTTTCCAAGTCATAGACTTCAGATAACTGTGCAAAGTCCCAGATTTTTTATAACGGAATCATGAACAAAAAACCAAAGACCACTATGACAAACGCGATCGGTCTGAAGGGATTACATAGAAATTGTTTTAAGGTGATACGATCCAGAACCTCGGGCGCTGATTCCACTTCGCTTTTTCCAGGAGTCCATTATCTGCTATCGGAAAACATACAATAACAAAACTGTGATGATAATTTAGTGCCTCAAATCGCAATAGTGCCCGAGATTAACTCCCTAGAAAACTCGAAGTGGCAGTGAAAGTGCCTATGCTTCATGGGGATTTTTTCATAACTTTAGGAGCCCTATCTACCCTGAAAACCCGGAACCAAACACCCTGTATACCTATAATAGATAAGCGGACTGTGATTGAACCCACGATTTTATGCTTAGTAAGTAAAAATTACTTCTAAAAAAAGCAGAGCAACTCAATAACAACACAACATGATAGAGTTGATGCTATAACCATAGACAAATAGACATAGCTGTTGATCGAACACGCATTTAACGGTCAATGTAAATGCTTTTATTTGTTTATGTTCAGCGTACCGCCTACCGCCCATCACAGTATACTCAACATATGGCGGTAGTGTTGTAGCGACGATGTTTTAAAATGAAAATATTCAATGAGCTAGGGTAAATGTTGGCTTCGGCACCCATTGACTGTTTTCGGCAACCAAAATTTAAACGTTAATTTCACTATGTTTTCCCATCAACGCACTTCCCTGAATGTGACCAAACGATTTTTTAGCCTTTCAGCTTCAATCTGATTATATTTGAACGATCGAGCAATCCAGTAATGCTACATTTTTCTTCAAATAAAGTATACGCACTACAAAATGGGGTTGATTTCGAGTTGCCGATAATAGAACAGCTGGTTAACACGCAGTTCTAATGGGAAGGTTGCCGAAGAAAAAGAGGCTGCCGACAATAGTCACACTCACCTGAGAAGTTTGGAGCGTTGTAAAAACGCTTTCAAAACGTTTTGAAAAATTCTGTCGATTGGAATGGATAGAAAAGCAAGCAGCAGATGAATGTAAACAAACAGACACATCATATATGTGCGTGACGCTGAGAAAATGCTAGTAGAAGTGCAGACGCTGCTTAGATTGACGAGAATACGTAAATTCCCCTATGTCTGTTTGTCTGCGCTATAACCATTCAAACCCGACGAAGGCAACTGGTCAAATCTGGTACTAATTAGCCACCCAAAATCATTTGGTAAGAAACTGACTTGGCACAAACCATTTAAAGTTTATATGGAAATTACTATGGGAAAACCAACATTTTTTTCGTTTTCTTCTTGCACTGTTAAAAAGTTCTATGGGACATTTTCTCAGCTACAACTTGCGGCAAGTCGTTTTTCAGCCAAAATTGAAATTAAATAATTATTAATTATTTAATAGATTGATAATCTTACGGCATGTTCAAGCAGCTGTATATTGTGGAAAACACTGTATTCTGCATTGTGACATAGTAGCCATGATTTTTGTGCTCTGTTATACGCAGAAACACCAATGTTGCCTGCTGAACAGTTGATTGAGCATAATCATTAGACATCAGTAACAAGAATCATTAATAACTTTTGTTCCTTACATTTGATAGAAAAGTGTTTTTTAACAAAGATGTAGCTGAGAAAATTTTCAACAAGCACAGCTATCATCTTCTTCTTCTTCTTCGCATTTCAAGCTTATTGCATATCGCATATTAGCTTATTGCGTGCTCTCAACTTAGTGTTCTAGATGCGCTTCCACAGTTATTAATTGAGAGCTTTCGATGCCTGTACCATTATTGCATTGGTATAATTGTGTGGCAAGTCCAATCATACTTCTATGCCCAGGGAAGTCGAGACATTTTCCTACCCGAAAAATTCCTAGACCGGACCGGGAATTGAACCCAGCCACCTCTAGCATGGTCTTGCTTTGTAGCTGCGCCTTTACCGACTGAGCTAAGGGAGGCCCCACAGCTATCATTAAAGCAGAGTAATCGGCGCTGGTGGTGTTGTGGTAAGCGTGATTACCTTTCACCCCAGCAGGCCTGGGTTTAATCTCAGTCGGCGCCGCCGGGATGTTCTGAGGCATAACATCTCTGATCACGCCTGAAGGGGAGTAAAACCGTTGGTCCTCGTTTCATGAGTTGATGGGTCGATAGGTTGGGTTCAGGTGTGGGAGCTGCCTCCCTGGCGTCGGTATTGGTGCCCAGCACGGAAAATAAGATCAACGGAAAACAAATCAAGAAAAAAAATTAAAGCAGAGTAAAAGGTGAATTTTGAGATAGATATGAACATAAAAATTGGTTTTCTCATAGTAATTTCCATACAAACTTTGAATGGTTTGTCTCAAGTCTGTTTCTTACTAAATGAGTTCAAATTTTGGGAGTCTTATCAGGACCCAATTTGGAACCGTCTGAGCACTATAGAACGAAAATTTCAACTTTTGCATCAGTCTAATGTGCACTGATGACCGATCCAGCCAAATCCACACAAAGAACAAAATGAATGAGGCTTGGGATAAGCGTTCCATAGTCAGTATGCAAATTCCGGCATCTATTTGCTCCCTCAAAACGCATCATGTCTTAACATAAACGAAAGCTTAACTCATTACACATACCAAACCCTTGTACAAGTCCTGTTAAGTGATATATTGTCATCAGTCGGAACTCATAAAAAGAGTGCCATCTCAGTATCTGATACAGACCAGCGCGTGCACAACATTACCCTTTTTCTCATAGTAACTCCCTTGCTCCCCCACGGCACCTGTAGTCGGGTGGTGCAGGCCTAACTGTAGGAAGGGGTAACTACCAGCACTGCACACTATTAACACAGACAAACAGACATAACACTCGCAAGTTGTTCGTCGAACAAGCATTTAACGGTAAATTTAAAAGTATCGTAGTTGGTAGTACCGCCAACTGTGGCGCGCATAGTCAATTCCCTTACGCTTAACGTTTACACACTACCGCCATCTGTTCTGCTTACTACCTACCATAGTGTACTGGCGGTAATGTTTTAGCGACGATGTTTTACAGTGAGAAATATTCAAAGAGTTATGTCTGTTTGTCTGTGCTATTAATTTCAATTCACACCTGCATCGGGAGTGAATTACCGGAATTGGCTATAAAAGTGCGGTGCGTTTACGCAAAATTCAACGTGATGTTTGCTCGCTAACAAAAACGACCATGATTCACGAGGGACAATGATGGTCAATGATTTATTTAGGTTATAGGGTGCGCTAAATACTGCGGCAAGATTGTGCATTTCCAAAAAATATAGGTTAGGAACCGCCGGATTGTGATAAACGAAAATTAACCGTCAAAAAGCCAACTGATATGGTCCGTTAAATAAAATAAATATATTTCATAATAACTACTAACGTTACAATCGGGCGTTTACACAATCATTTCCATTGTTTGCAATGGTTGGAAACTCACGTCGAAAATAAAACGCCGAAGGCAGCTACAGATCACATCATTTTGGAAATGACTACTCTAGGAAGCTTCATGGTGTCTATCTTATGTTTTATAACATTCTCTCCACCAGAGAAGAACGTTTTCTCGAGATAATGTATCGACTTATTTCTGTAATTATACATGAACATTGGGTAACCAAAAGAAAACTTATCCTGTCTTGTTAATACCAATGGCGCTGCCTTCGATTTGACTGTATAAAAATTTGGTATTTTTTTACTATCATCATAGGTAATATGCTATCACTACTAATGATTAATATTGTTGCTTGTTTGTGAATATATTGTAATGCGTGGTACTATGTAAGTCATAAATTTGCTACGTTTATCGTGGTATTTCTGTTCACATCGCCTTTCTCGTATATTTCTGCGATATTGCAATGGGATTTGTTGTTCTTATGTTACGGTCACAGAATATTCCTACTATTTTAAACTTTTGTTCTATGTTTCTTTTGTTATGTCTAGTTTGGTATACTTGAATAATTGTACAGTATGGTTTGTATCATTTGATATATGATTTCACTATGATACGGTAACGTTTAGTAATCAATAGCAAGAGATTCTATTCATTTTTTGGTTCTAGGAGATGGGGAATACTGTTTTTATCGCTAACCATACGGTGGACAGGGGACATCATATTTTGGTGATGGTCTTGTTGTTGTTGTTGTTGTTGTTGTTGTTGTTGTTGTTGTTGTTGTTGCTGCTGTTGTTGTTGCTGCTGCTGCTGTTGTTGCTGCTGCTGCTGTTGTTGCTGCTGTTGTTGATGTTGCTGTAGGGCTGCTGCATGATCTTGAGCCATCCGCTCAGCATTCTGAATAAATCTTTCTGCCAAATTGCGAGTTTCATGGTCGGTTCGCTCATGTTGCAGTGCTCTGTCCATTTCGATGCGGTCACGATCGTGAAGCTCATGTACAAGGCGTCCACCTCCTTGGCCAATGATAGCGTCATTCATATGGACACCTGTGGGTCCATTATTGATTATCATTGCCCGATTGGTGGTCATTCCGTGTTCTTGGCTGGAACTTGTCATACTAGGGGAAAGATTATGACTACTGCTGATATCCGGGGAAGAAATGTGGGATACGGATGATATCGTTTCGGTCATATGAAGCTCTGGTACATATCTGTAATCATATATGATGGGTAATAAGTGAAATGTCGTTAACAGCTCACGTTCACGATTATTACAAATCTAGGGTTAAACGTACCTGAAGTTGCAGGGTTGTACTGTTGGATTACTAAACGTCTCACGTGGCTGGGAAGCGATTTGACCTGTACTATGGTCTCCTGTGTCCTGTGTTACATTATTAGCATTTGATCCTCCGATATGCTGAGATGGAATCTCTCCAATGGCAACACTATTAATGGTGGCACTGACACTGCTGGTATTTATTCTGTTTTCGCGATGCACGCGATTATTATGTCTTATCAAATAACTATCCCGAATGAAGGTGCGGCCACATAATCGGCACTCAAAGTTTTGCCCTGCCGAGTGAGTTCTAATATGAATAGCAAATTGTGACTTACTAGTGAAAGTCATCGAACAGCGATCACAATTCAAGGGCTTCTCTGAAACATGGGACCATCTGTAAAAGAGCTTAAAAGGTTATAAACTATTGTATGGATTTGATTTCGCTCATTCATACTAACCGATGTGCTGTAACATAGCTTTTAACGGCAAACGTTTTGTTACAAATATCACAAGCGTAAGGTCGTTCACCTGTAAAAAAAGATCGTTGGAGTTATAGTCGATACATTTTCATCAATTTTCAACAATTCCAACTTACCTGTATGTATACGTTTATGAATATTCAATGTAGATCTTTGGGAAAATCGCTTCAAACAAGTTGAACACTCAAATGGTCTTTCTCCTATAACAAAGATAAAAAAGATGATAAAATTAAAGAAAAAAAAAAAAACTAGCGTTCGGAAATATAGGTTAGTGAATGCCGTGGCGCCCGATATAGCTAGTTTTCCATGTCCTCACCGCGAAACATTTTTCTCATCATTTAGAGTTTTCCACTTCAACCACATCAAGGTCTATGATCTGTGGTCGTCGCTTCTACACCTGGTTGTCTCGGTGCGTTATACACAGAGATTGGGGTTTTATTGTAATAAATTAATATGCGCAAACAAAAAAAAAAATTACAGTGAATGTTAGTTCCGTCTCCTATCATCCTTTGTTCATAAACATCGCAGCGAATGTTAGAAGTTGACCTTGCAGACGATGCAATGATATTCACCTCTATTCCCGTTTTCGTACGAACATGATTCGTTCGAAACGAAAGCAATTTCCCATTCCTGTTTTCGTTCGAAGCAATTCTTACTTTCGAACATCGTTCGTTTGAACGATGTTGCTATTCCCATTTTCGTACGAATGCGTTTTTTGTCCGCTTTCCAAACGTCCAAGAGATAAAAACTGAAATTTTTTGTAATCTCTAATAAAAATGTTATGGTTAATTTGCTTAACGACGTGTTCGGGGTTGATTGATTGATTTATCTTTATTAAGGAGGCTTTCAGCCTGAGGCTGGTTCACCTCCAACGTGTTCGGGGTATCATGCAAACTATTTGTGGAATAGTTCAATCATGTGGGTTATCGTTCGTGTATGGTATTTTTTATTAGGGATGGGCTTAGTGTACAAAAAAATCTACAACCAAATTTTTGGTATTTGATTGTAATAATTTTACTTAAAATTACGTGAAGTTAAAGATCTCATATGGAAATTGATTGAAAAATCATGCAATAAAAATATAATTTAGATTAAAAAAAGGATCGAAACAACTAGAAAATTTTGGACAAAGGCATTTCTGTAACAGCTTACATAACAAATATTTATGTATTTAATTATGACTCCAAAACATTGCCATTGCCATATACAGTCAAGATTCGTATAGTGCGGATTCGTTCTTGCCGGATTCCTATAGTACTGATGCCACTGGATTCCTATAGTACGATCGATCCGGCATTAACGAATACACGTAGCATATGGGATTAAAGCTAATTGGGACCAAACACTGATTGTACAGCAATTTGAAGAGATAACTTCCTGATGTCTCTTGAGAAGTTGTTAAGCAGAAAGTTGGCCACCTTTTGGGACGATTCAGTTTCCGGTAGGACACAAGTCTGATCCTGTGGAAGATCCGGAATACCCGTAAAAGTGGCCGATTCATGAAAATGAACCTAGAGCTCCGCGGATTTTTAGAAACCACTCATAGACGTCTTATCAGAATGAGTTCGGAGTTATGGCCGAAAAATTGACCCTGGGGACTACGGAATGGCCCACTATAATATCCGGAACATCCGCAAAAGTGTTCAATTCATGAAACTGATCCTAGAGCTCCACGGATTTTTTGAAACCACTAATAGACGTCTTATCACAATAAATTCGGAGTTGTATTCGGAAAATGTACTCTGGGGACCATGGAATGGTTCACCGGAAGATCCGGAACATCCTGAAAAGTGGTTAATTCATGAAACTGATCCTAGAGCTCCGTGTTTTTGTTTAAACCTTTCATAAACGTTTTATTACAATTAATTCGGAGTTTTGACTAGAATTTGGACTCTGAGGACTACAGGATGGTCCACCGAAAGATCTGGAACATCCGCAAAAGTTGTCAATTCATGAGACTGATCCATGAGTTTGCGAAACCACTCATAAACGTTTTATCAGAATGAATTTGGAGTTGTGACCGAAATATGAATGCTTAGACGGAAAATAGACTGTTCAGTAGCGGGTATATAGCTAAAAGCAGAATCCAACTCTAGTGTGAACTCTACGTTAGTTTAGTTATTGCTGTTCATTTCTTTCGTGCAGTTTACAATACATACACATCATCAGCTGTTCCTATTAGATTTAAGTCGACAGTATCAGTAATAAATTACATTCCTTATCAGTAGCTCAAGAAGTGAAGATCAAGAACCAAATTTGTAGTCAATTTAAAGTGAGTGAAACCAATAAACTGAAGTTTAAACGGTGGTGTAAAAAGTGGATTTTTGTGAGCTTGGTCTATCGATGACCATTTGACTAATTGTGGCGAGCCATAGCCGAAGAGTAGGGTCCAGATCGGCCACATCCTGCCACTAAGTGAACCGTTTCCCCAACACAATTTGGTGCCGTGACCAGGATAGTGGCATTGTTGAGTACGAAAAGGTCGCCGACCGATTCGCCATTCTTCCGTGGGACAAAGAAGCCCGCTCTATTCGCCATCTTCCAAGCAACGTAGTGGACAATACCAGCTTGTTATAGACGCCACCTCAGCCAGCTGAACAAGCCAATCGTCCGCCATCGAAGTGCACTGTGAATAGACACAAAGCCCATCCTATTGTGCCATTGCCATCGAGTGACGCCATCCGCCATCCGTGAAGATCCAACTGAAGAACTGTTGCAGCAATCAATTTATACAAGGCCTGTTGAGATCAGGCAGAAGTTTGTGAGATCGTCACGTTCTTGCTGTTCCAAACGAATCAACGGAACTGAAGTGTGTGCAAACAGTACTGAAGAAACGAAACCAGTGCCCGTGTGTGGAACCGAAGGAACGGAATACGTCGTTAAAGCAATCCCTGCCGTTTCCTGGTGCTTTTCTGCGACCACGCCGTGGTGCAATCGAGCAAAGAATCCCACCACTCCGGTGCCATTTTGGATCGTTTTTTTTTGTTCCTGCGTATACATTAATACAAGGCACTTATCCGCCTTGGTCAGGTGAGCACCTTTCCAAGTGATTTATTGTTTTTCCCCCAGTGCTTCCTGGTCTTTTTCGTTGCCAGATCGTTGCCTAACTTCATTGCACGTCTCGCTTCGACACGATGGAGGAAGATCGTCGGAAACATGTGCTGACATCCCGACGAACCACTCTGCTTGCGTCTCTAGGACGAGCGGAGAAATTTATGCTGCAGTACCAGGAGGAACGGGACAAGCTCGAGGTCGATCTGCGATTGGAGAATCTCGACGTGATCCTACAGGGGCTAGAGGATGTGCAGACGGAACTGGAGGATATGGAGGACACCAACGAAGGCATGGTGAGAAACTTACAGTTTCGTTCCAATTTCGAAACTCTGTCCTTTAAAATAAAATCCTTCTTACGCTCTAAACTTCCTCCTCCAATCAATCTGCACGACAATCTCCCTCAACATACTGCTTCTGGGGCTAACACTCTAAAGGGTCTGAAACTGCCTACCATTTCATTGCCTGAATTTTCTGGGGACTACAAAGACTGGCTTGCGTTCCACGACACTTTTCTGGCTCTTATCCATGCGAATCCGGATGTGGCAGACATCCAGAAATTTCACTACCTACGGGCTGCTATCAAAGGGGAAGCAGCTCAGTTAATCGAATCAATTGGAATCAGTGCTGCTAATTATTCGCTCGCTTGGGAAGCTCTTGTCAACCGATATGCCAACAAGTACCTCCTGAGAAAACGTCATCTTCAAGCGTTGTTGGAGTGCCCAAAGATGAAGAGAGAGTCAGCGTCCATCTTGCATACCATCGTCGATGATTTCGAGCGACACGTCAAAATTCTAGGTCAGTTGGGTGAGCCAGTAAATTCGTGGAGTACCATATTGGAGCACGTCCTCTGTACGCGACTGCACGATGACACCCTGAAGGCGTGGGAGGATCACGCTTCCACTCTGGACGCAGTAACCTACGAGCGACTGATCGAGTTCCTGCAACGTCGTATGCGCGTCTTGGAATCGATTTCCGTCAACCAACACTATTCGTCTGTCCCAGCCGAAACCCAATTCAAACCTCCGTTTTCGAAAAGATCGTTTCCAACGAAAGTCTCGTCCCATGCTGCCGTCGAAAATTCTCCTATGAAGTGCTACGCCTGCGATCAACGTCATCCTTTAGTAAAGTGCTACAAATTCGAGAAGCTTCCTATTTCCGAAAAGTTGAACCTTCTTAATGCCAAGCGTCTCTGTCTCAATTGCTTCCGCAATGACCACCTCGCTCGAAATTGTTCGTCGAAGTACAGCTGCAAGTTCTGCCAGAAACCCACCACTCCCTCATCCATGCAGCCTACGTGGATAGTTCCAAACAATCCAGCACAAATGTCAACGCTTCCTCTTCTGGTAGTTCTTCTAGGGCATCCGTTCAAACCAACATAGCCACTTCCGAGGCCGTTCCGTTGCTGTCTGCATCGACATTGGTGAAATCTCAAGAGCAAGTATGCAGTATTCCGATGCAAAGTTGCGGTAGAAACGTTTTCATGCTCACCGTACTGCTGAAAATCGTCGACTGTTATGGTGAAGAGCATTTTGCCAGAGCTCTTTTGGATTGCGCTTCCCAACCGAACATCATCTCCGAAAACTTGGCCCAAATTTTGCGGCTGAAACGAAACAAAGTGAATGTTTTGATCCATGGAGTAGGAGAGAAACCGCAACATGCCCGCAACTCTGTCCGTACGCAAGTTCGTTCCCGGAAAGGAGAATTCATCCTAGATGTCGACTTCTTGGTGCTGAACAAGGTCATCCCGAACCTTCCGTCCCGTGACGTCTCCGTTGAAGGCTGGAATCTACCACAGGACCTGTTCTACGCCGATCCAAACTTCCACAAGAGCTCCGGGATTGATTTAATAATCGGCAACGAGCATTTCTTCTCTTGCTTCAAGACCGCTGCTAGAATTCAATTGTCCGATTCCCTTCCGTTGCTAGTTGATAGTGTCTTCGGGTGGATCGTCTCTGGAACCGCCAACGCTGCTGAAAATTCCTCCGATTCTTCTGCCTGCTCTGTTACGACCGTTTCACTAATGTCCCTCGAAGAAAGCTTAGAACGCTTTTGGGAAATCGAAGAGCTGCCAGCTCGATCTGCCTACTCACCAGAGGAGAAGAAATGTGAGGAATTCTACACATCCACGGTTACCAGAAACACCGAA